TTTAGGGTTTTTTTATGTCCAAAAATATTTAATTCACTTCAAAATGTCATACTAATTATGGTGGTTTCTGTGCACTTCTAAAGCTTTAGTCATTTAGCTCCAGTACATTACTAAAATAATATATTAATTTATGTTTGGAAAAAAGGCAGAATAAGCGACAGGTATAATTACTGTATCAAATGACACTGTTGGACATTATCAGTAGTATACAAGGTAAACAATGCTGCTATTTTGTGAAATAACAAGTGTTCCAGATTATAGTGATCCAAACTGAGTGTGTATGCTCTTAGTTGATGTGGAGAACGTATAGGGAGAACGAAGTATTCATTGTATCTCTTCTGTTTAATCACTTAAAAAAATCTGTTACAGATATTCCATTTTGTTATTTTGTGAGCTGTGACAGACTGGAAAAGGAAGGGACATTGGGATCAGTGCTCACATGGTGTCGGCTAAGTGTGCTGTAAGAAAGGGCATTACAATTTGAATAAAAAAGAAGTTTGGCCCCATCCCCACCCTGCAAGCCTCTTCCAGAGAACAGTTAGCAGTCAAGAGTGTGCCTCATGATCTTAAACTGAGTAGAGTCAACAAACGTAAGGCAGTTGGAACAGATTTGTACTGTGCCTATTTTTATACAGCTGGTGAAAGAAGAATGGTTTTCACTTTTTTAAATGGTTGATGAATATATCAAAAGAATGGTATTTTGTGACATGTGAAAACTATAAGAAGTTCATTATTTCCATAAATAAGGTTTTATTGGAACATAACCACATTCATTGGTCTTTGTCTTGTCTGTAGCTGCTTTCACACTACAACAGCAGAGGTGATCAGTTGCGACAGAGACCATATGGCCTACAAAGCCTGAAATGTTTGCTATCTGGCCTTCTACAGAAAAAGTCTGATGACCCTTGAATTAGAGTAACTCCACTTTGATCCATCTTATTTATTATTCTTCCCCATGGGAGTTCATTTGAAGAAAGGGTTCTACTGCCTTAAAAACAAGTTTTGTTTTGTTTTGTTTTTAAAGTATGTAAACTTTTCAAAAGGTCAGCCCAAAAGAGCTAGCATTCTTGTTCTTTTGCCACTCTGGGGCCAGAGCAGGGTGGGGTTCACAGTTCAGTTTGAAAATACAGATTGAGTAACTGAACATAATATTTGAAGGTACATTATGGGTGTAAAAAATTAACCATTTGTGCCACCAGAGATTTTAAGTCTGATGATAGGATAAGAAACATGTTTTTCCTCCTTAATTTTTTAATTTTTTGCATATTTTTCTCAAAGGAGAGATTAAACATAGCTTAAAAGGAAGGCATTTGACTCATCTTCCTATTCTCTTAAATTGATAGCCAGTAAATTGCTGCCAGTTCAGCAAATCCCCACTTTAACTCGTTTTTCCAAACTCAGATATATTCCCTAAAATTATTGCCTCTCCTGTTAGCAACCAATGCATTCCTGTAATTGTTCATTTGCTTCGTGTCCTGTACTAATCCATGTTATAAGCTTCTTTAGTGTCTTCCTCTCTAGACACAGGAGGGACTGTAATTTTAGGTAATACAGCATATTTCAGAGCATTGGCTTTGGAGTCAGACCTATCCTGCTTTACCTAGCTGAGTGAATGTTTCCTCATCTATGAAATGGGAATAACAATATTAATGAGGATGGTAATAATAATACTTCTAGAGTTTGTTGTGAACCTTAAATTAGATGATGCGTGTAAAATGCTTAGTTGAGCTTTTGCCACATAGCACTATATCATCTGTGTGGCCGTTGTTTTGGTGTTGGTTGTTACTGTATTTCTAATGTCTGACTTAGGTCTTTTTTAAGTATTAAATATCTGCTTGAATGGAATCAAGGTTTATTTTATACATGTTACCAATTTTGTGCTTTAGAGAAGATTAAAAGGTAAAATAAAATTTGCTTTTATCCAGAAAGAGTTGTCCCATAGAGTTACATCCAATAGTGATGATAATGCTATTTCTGTTTGATAGAGTTAGGGTAATTTTGGTTTTTTGCTTGTGTGTGTGTGTGTGTGTTTTGTTTTGGTCTATTCCAAAACCTGTGCTCTTTCCACATGGCTTATATAAAGTTGAAGTATAAACTGAGTGCTTACTGTGTGCCAGGGACCGTTCCAAATGTTTTATATTGATTTAGTTCTCATAAGAACCCTATGAACTAGGTGATGTTTATTTTTCCTATTTTTAGATGAGATAGCTGAAGCATAGAAAGATTATAACTTGCCATGGGTTACCAAGATAGTAAGAAGCAGAGTTCGTATTTGAACCCATAGCCTGGCTCCAGAGTCTGTGTTCTTAACCTATCTAAACTGTCTCTTATTTGCCATATGCTTATATGTAAGTTTATTTTAGGTCACTTTATTGGTGTTTTAAGTTTGTTTACAGTACTGGCATATGATAGACAATACATATTTGTCCTTGAATTAATTAATCAATATGATAGTATGGTAAAATTATAATTGACACAGTATGATCATTGCTAATTCTTCTTGGCTTCAAGTGATAACTGTTTGTCACTGTAGGTCCTCTTCTGAGTTACAGTTAGCCAGGATTGGCTATTTTGATCTATTCCAGCAAAATCTTGACAAAGAAATTGCTTAACAAGTCTATTTATATTCTTAAATTCACTTATTCTTACTGGTACTCATCAAAAAATACTTGTTTTATTTAATTTTTTCTTTTTTTTTTTTGGTTACTGTATTGAATTGTTTGTGGATTTTTTTTTTTAATGTTAAGTGGCATTGTGACAGACAATTCAGTCCTTTAGAGAAGAAGCCTTAAAGAATTTGGGCATACTTGTCATGATTTGAATTTGGCCTCTAAAACTTTTGAAATACCGTGGATCCTTGAAACATACCAGGGTTAGGGGCACCAACACTTGCTCTGTTGAAAATCCACATATAACCTTATAGTCGGCCCTCCCTATTCTCAGTTCCCCTTGTGGGAATTCAACCTTCACCCTTTAGTGCTGTAGTACACATTTTTTTTTAAATCTGCATAAAGGTGTACCCCTGCAATTCAGATCCATGTTGTTCAGTGGTCAGCTGTACTAATGATCTTGAAATTTACTTTATTTTATATCTCTTTCAGAATTCTCCACTTTACCAGTACTTACAGGATCTGGGACACACAGACTTTGAAATATGTTCTTCTCTGTCACCAAAACCAGAGAAATGCACAGTGACGGAGGGACAACAGCCTCCTGCAAGAGCCCTGCCAAAGGTAAGAAGGCACACTCATTCTCCATGACTCAGTCTTTTGTTTCCTGATTTTTTAAACTGCATTTACCCTTATCCTTGCAAAAAACACCTTGTTAGCACCTCCATGTCTTTCCCTACACTGGTAAGACATGTTTTTATTTCATCAGTAGTACAAAACTGTTAGATAAACATGAATAATTGTTCTTTTGGGCTATCTCATGGGTAATTCGTATAATGAATTGAAATGAATGTTATTGAGGATTGAAATATATTATATATTTAAATATGTAAGTTATCTGGAGGGAACCAGAAAAATAAACTAAAAGCTTAATGAGAATCTAACTATAGGGCTCCTATATTAACTAGAATTCTTTTTCTTTAAATTTTTTTTTCTAACAGTACAAATTATAAGAAAGCCAATTAATATTTCATAGACAATTTCTAGGATCTATGATGGAGTGGGAATATGTAGCTTAGTTTCTGAAGCCCTTTATATCTGTGGTATCATATATTTCATACAGTAGATATGTCATAGTTGATGGACAGCATTTTGAGGCTGAAATACTAGAAGAAATCACCATTAATTATGTTCTGTAAAATGCATTCACTGGATTCATTTATGTTCTATTAGCTGTATTTACTAAAATAAGAAAATGTTATAGTACATTTCAGGAATTAGAAAAGGAATTCTAACTCAGTAGAAAACAATATAACCTGATTACCTCATTTCTTGAGAATTCTAGTTTAATCAATGTTTTATTATAAGACTCAATTATAACAAAATGAGACTTTCAAAGTTTTCAATTAGTCATTTATTCTGTGTGATAGAGAGGTAAGGATCTTTCCTTCTGTTCTCTTTAGGAAAAAAACTAAAATGAGAGGTGGCAAGTTGGGCCCTATTGCAACAGCAGAGTAAACACCAGAGAAATGTTTTTTGACTAACACCCACAAGATGGGAGTTAGAGGAGTGAGAGCTTGCAGGGACCAGAACTAGTTTTCCTTGTCCTCTGTACTTAAACCCTTTCTTCTTGCTCTTTTCAAATAAGAATGTTCCTGGGAAAAGTTTTGGAAGCAAAACCTAAAGATATATCTAAAAGATTATTTATAGATTAAAACTTAGATTTGAGATTACTTGGCAACAAAAGACAAAGAATGAGCCAAGTGATAATACTGGGGCAGGAGCTGGATGTTGACCTCTTTGTGTGTGTGTGTGTTTGTGTGCACAAACTTGGGTTTTGTAAGTATTTAATCCTCTTATGACAGGTGTTTTTACTTGTAGATGTTATTAATTTATAAATAAATAAAATGAGAGTTTAAAATTCATCCTCTCAGAAATTGAGGAACAATAAAAAGCTAGCAAGAGGGTGTTTTTCAAAATTACCATATGTTTGGAAAGTTTATTTAGTCTTCATAGTACACATTTCAAGTACGAGCATATTTTTCTAAAATGGAGGTTTTTAAAATTTGGGGCAGCTAAATTTTAGAAAGACTTTGTTGTTCCTTCTCAGAGATATATTAGAATTGCCCCCCAAATTCTGTTCAAGCTGTGAAGTACCAGTTATTTTTTTGGAAAGCAAATTTTCTGTATCAGTTCATGATGAAACAGTCGTTAGTATTAATCATTCTTTTTAACTTAAAAAAATGTGATTGTTAAATAATTGTTGGCTAGTCTGTATTGGTATTCTCACCATGAATAATAGTTCTCTGAATATTTTTCTGGTTTCTTTTTCTTTGATTATTCTTAAACGTTCCTTTCATCAAATTCAGTCTTCCTTGCTTGGTCTGTTTTCTCTGAGTGATCTCATCTACTTTCTTGTCCTTATTGGCTACTTTTGTCCATTCTCCACTTTCACTGAGTTCCAGATGCTTGTTAGACATTTCTATCTGCCTGCATCCAGAAAACTTGGATTCAACATGTCTAAAACAGAGCTATTTTCCTCAGAATCTCTGAGACAGAAACCAAAATATTCTTTCTCTGTTCCTAAATTACCACCCTCTCAAAATTATCTTACTCCCACATTGATTTGGTTGCTAAGTGATTTATTGACTTACCTTTTTTGTTTCTAAAATCTAATCCTTACTCATTACCATTTTTGCTACCTTAGTTCAAGCCTCTATCATTATCTAGCTGGACTATTATATATCCTCCTAATCACGCTCCTTGGCTACACTCATTCCCTGCTAGTACAGCCTCCACACTGTTGGCAGTTATTTTTCTAAAGTGCTGATTTTTATTGTTTCACTTCCTTATATAAAAACCTTTGGTGACTCCTCACAGTCTATAGGTAAAGTCTAACTTATCATTAAGACCAAAGTACCTATCTCAGTGCACCTCTTTCACTTCAGTGCTATTCCCTTCTTCCCTTGGGTCTTAGTAGCTGTCCCAAACTATGCCACCATCCCCACAGCGTGTGTTTTCATGGCTCTCTCCTTTACTCATCCTGTTCTCTTGCCTGGAGTGTTCTTCCCTCTTTTGCTCATCTGTTAGCTCCAGTGTCAGCTCCTCTTTTCCCAGTTTTCCAGACTTTACATTGGTTTGTAATTATTTGTACTGTCTCTTCTAAGTTCAACAGAAGTTATGTGTATTCATCTTTGTTCCCATGACCCTTTTTTTAGTACCTTGGATATAGTAGTCACTCAGTGAATGCAAACTCCATTTACTGGCCTGCTCAGGAAATGGGCTATTAAGGTAAATTGAAGTTTTGATTGATTCAATAATATAACTTTTATTTCAATATGACAGTTTTTCTAAAATTGATTGAAATATCTTTCTGCCTTAGTATTGTTGAATGAAATAAATATTCTTCATATTTGAGAATCTGGAGCAGTTGGTTTTGAAGTACATACCATCATCCTGTTGACATAGATAGTATATAGTGTACCTAAGATAAATGGGCTGCATCACAGTGACTTTGACTGCACTTTAAAAATCAGGTTTCCAGGTCTCACCCAAACTTACTGAATATGAATTTAGTTTAGGGGCCCAGAAATATGTTTCTAACTAAAATCTCTAGGTGATTCTGATGTGCAAGTAAATTTGGGATCTAATAAGGAGGCTGAGACACACTGGCAAAGCATATGACCGAGATGATTTTTTCCTTCCTTTTTCTGGTAAAAATTGCGATTAATTAGAAGTAAATTATTTGAAGTTTTTCTGCTGTTTAGATGTGGTTTAATAATCCTATACTATGTCATTCATCTCCTTCAGCAAGGCATCCTGTTAAAAGTGGCTGAGACCATCAAAAGTTGGATTTTGTCTCAGTGCAATAAGAATGATGACTTACTTCACAAATTGGTAAGTGTTCATTTTACTGTTTTTCACTTTTCAGGGCTGTTTTGCTACTGATTTGGGCGGTGATTGCGTTTGATTAGAAATTCTGGGCTGATCTCCAAAAGGAAACTGTCAGCTTTATGAAGTGTTAAATAAAGTTTGTTTGTATCACCTTAAAAAGAAAAAAAAAGGAAAGGGAAGGAAATTCTTCAATAATTGGGGATCTCTGAAATTGAACTCATTAGTATTGTCTCATAGGTCTTCTTAGAGGTTATTAGCCATTTAGAATAGGGTATTCTGGTACTTATTAAAACCCTGTTTGTTAGATTACTCATTTCCTGCTGCCAGCTTCCTCCATTGACAGATACTCCTCTCAGAGAGGAAGGGAATAGATCTACTAGTGGGATCTTCTCCCTTTTCATTAGGAACTTGACTGTCTCTGTCACACAGCCTATGATTACAAAGTTTCGGCAAAATCAAAAGTGGTTCCTCTGTAATTTATTTATCGTTAAACTACTATTCTCTGACAACTTCATATATAAAATTTAGTCTCCTTGGACTGGTAAATCACAGACTTTCCTAAAGGCTTGCTTGATTTCTGAGCTCTGAGAGGAAGTACTTGAACCTTTTTACATCTTAACAATACAAAATGTAGGTAGTATAGCTAAAAGATTGAAGTTATGAAATTTTCATGGCTCTCACAAGTAAGCAGGTTTCAGGATCTTCTGCTGGCCTATGACCTTAAGATGATAATTATCATTCTTGTAAATTATCATTTGTAAAGAAATGTTTACAAAGTGCTTTCACATTTTGATTTGGTAATCTAAACATTATTTGAGGTTTAGTGTATTTACCAGTGGGAAAGCCTAAGGTTCTGGCAGTTCAGTTTGGTTAAGAATACTCATTAAGTGAATTGTTCAAGAATGTTCAGCCAGAAGGTGATAGAGTCAGAATCTGAACTCAGCACTCCCAGTTTCAAAGCCCAGACTCTTTCCATTATAACCCACTATGTCTCTAGCTTGAGTAGTATTATGTTTTGACTAAAATTACTTTTTTAGCAATCTGTATGGGTAAATTCTCTGTTCAGGGTTTCATCTTGGTAGGTGTGTTGAGAAGGTCAGTAAAGTCTCTTGTCATCTACATAGAATATCATCTCTATCCAGGTGGAGCCATCCCCATTCTTCAGTGATACTAGGACTGTGGTAAGGTATATGGATCCATATACATTTTTCTGTGGTTTAATCATAGTCTGCATAGTCCTGATCTTTTCATTCTTGGTTGTTTGTCACTGGCCACTTGTTTCATGTCATGTTTCACTGTAAAGTGCCAGCTTCTATATGCATCCCACTTTGTACCTATATTATGGAGAATTATAAAAAATACATATCTAAGAAATAGTTTACTAGTAATGGAACAAGGAATTACCCAGTTTGCTTCTGACATGAGATTTGTTTTCTTTCCCCTTGATTATGAAATATTTAAAATTTTGTTAGCTATACAGATCCTCTTTCCTTTTATAAAGATACTGACAATTGCTCCATGATAACTGAACATTTTATGATTGTTCATTTTGATTATGGTAGTACTTCTCTTCTTAAAGATTAAAAAAAAATTCCTTTATCCAACTGTGATATTAGTAGTATTGGCACTTTTTAAGCACTTTTTAGCCTCTAAAGTTCTTTCACACATGTTATCTCATTTGATCCTCAACAGCTTTATTAAATAGAACTATATATTAAAAAATACATAAGATCGTTGAAGTATATTGACATATGAATAAGTTCTCTTCTCCATCCCTGGGGGCTGGAAATAAATAATAATCTCTTTATTCTTTAACTGTACTTCTCCTATTCTTTTTGTGTTCCATCCAGGCAGAAATCTTCCGAAGTTATCTTCTCATGCCATATCTCTGTTTAGATCCTAAAAAGATCCCCGCTATCCATCAAATCAAGTTCAGTTCATCACTTTGACATGAAAGTCTGTATAATTTGGCTCTAATCTACCTTTCCAGCTTTAAACACCAATATATTCATCAGACCAACACAGCCTTCCTTTTCCTTTATTTCTTACCTATTTTCTGTGTCTATATTTGTGCTATATACTGTGGAATTCTTTCCACTTTTCTATTATTGGAATCTTTTCAATAAGCAATACTAGCCCTTCCTCAAGACCGTTATCAGAAACGTCAGCCTATTGGATCTCTTTTTTCCTACAATAACTTTGTAATAATTATCTATGCTATGTTCTATAAGTTTTTACTTTATGTGTGCTTTTCTCTGTTGTATTTTTCAATTATTTTGTCTGTACTAACAGCTAACACTTACATAGTGCTTACTGTGCACCAGATATTCTTAGTATTTTACAAATACTGACTTATTTAATCCTTGCAACAACCCTGTGAAGTGGGTACTATTACTGTCTTCATTTTGCAGATGAAGAAACTGGGACAGAAAGGTTATTAACTTGCTTAAGTTTTGGAACCAAGATGTAAACCTAGGTACTAAGTCTTGACACAAACTTGTTGAGGGTGAGCCAAAGTTTACATAGTAAACCTTCCCTCAGCACCGAGCACCCATGCTATTAATACTACCTCAAATCATACTGGTTTTGGGGAGGCATTATCCCAGTTTTACAACAGGTCTGATGCCAAAGAATGGTGTTGAAGAAAGTACCTGTTGAAGCAGCATGTCCATAAGAGAGTCTCTGAAGAGGGGAGAGCTCCCATTCTATATTAATAGTTCCCCCCTCTCTATCAGCCTTAACCTTCATTTAGTTAAGCTTCTTTAAACTTACCCATATAAAAGATCTGGTTTCAAGATTTTGTAGCAAAAGTTTGATTTTAAATACTTGTATTTGAATATGGCTGTGTCTGATTGGGGAATCCAAACCAAATTATAAGGCCAATATGTGAAGATTCATTTTAAAGATTACTTGGAAAGCTACCATACTCCACCTCCTGCCCTCCTGGCCCCCCACTGCCCACCTGCTGTTGATACCCTCAGTCCACTTCCCCCCTCCCCACCCCCAACAGTAGTATCAAGTGAGTTGTGCTGTTCTCTCTTAATGAAAGTGGGGTGGAACGTCAAAAAATTAAGTAGTTCCTAATATTAGAATTGTAAGAGAGACGAGGCAGTAGTTCCAATATGGAGCATGAAAGTGCTGCAGAGGTATGTAGGGTATGTCAGTAAATGGTAAGAAAAAAAAAAACCCAGGCTAAAAGTAAGATCAACATTCCATTGAGAAGCTTTTTCTTCCTTCCTTCCTTCCTTTTCTTTTCTTTTCTTTTCTTTTCTTTTCTTTTCTTTTCTTTTTCTTTCTTTCTTTCTTTCTTTCTTTCTTTCTTTCTTTCTTTCTTTCTTTCTTTCTTTCTTTTCTCTTTCTTTCTTTCTCTTTCTTTCTTTCTTTCTTTCTCTCTTTCTCTCTTTCTCTCCTTCTCTCCTTCTCTCTTTCTCTTTCTCTCTCTCTTTCTCTTTCTCTCTTTCTTTCTCTCTCTCTCTCTCCCTCCCCTCCCCTCTCCTCTTCTTTCCTTTCTTCCTTCCTCCCTTCCTTCCTCCCTTCCTTTTCTTTCTTTCTTCTTTAGAAATATATCCAAATAGACCTAATATTAAAAATATTCTTCTTCTTTAAAAGTGATGTATAACCCATGATCAAGGGGCTATGTACTCAGTTTGACATAAGGATCTCTGCATTCCTGCTTAAGCCTTCCTTATGATCAACTAGGGCTGGAGTCTGGTGTGGGAATAATAAAGAGCAAACCTGCTGCTTTCAAACCCTAGACCTAACTGGTTTTACTTTAATTGCTAAAGGCCTTGTCCGTTAAAAGTTCTCTTTATTTTTATCATGCAATAGGATCACTCTATTCCAAAATTTAACACAACATAAAATGTTAAGTTTTCTGATAGAGGAGACTATATTCTTCAGCTATCAAAGACTTTGGTTTGAAATCAGAATTCTAGAAAGTTACTTAATCTCTTTGAGCTTCAGTTTTCTCTATAGAATGGAGAGGAGGGTGATAATGTGCATCACATTATCTGTGATACTGTGAGAATTAACTTATCTGCCCTAATGTTGCTACCTCATCTCTCACCTCTCTACCATGTACACTCTGCACAAAACTAATATTGGTGGCTTGTAGGTCCCCAGACTAGAAGAGGCTTGCTTTTATTCTGTCTTATCCCATTCTTCCAGGTTTTTCATCTGGTCAGTTCTTGTTTATCCTTTAAGACTTAGCTTAGGTATCACCTCTTACTTTCTCTGACTTTGTTGCAAGTTTTGGTCCTTCTGTGCCATTTTCATAATAACCTACTTATACCTCATCGCACTTCTTTGCACTTGATATTGTAACTGCTTACTTTTTGGTCCTCTCCATTAAACTATGAACACTTTAAGAGTAAAGACTTGTATGTCTTATTCATTTTGTGTGTGTGTTCTTGGTGTTGAGCATGTTGCCTTGTATGTATAAGGTATTCCTTGATAGATGGATAAAAGGAAAAGAGGGAGAAATAAATGAGCTGATATATGTGAAAGCATTTTGTAAACTATAAAGTGCTATGCACACATTAGTGTCATTTTGTATTATGTTCCTTAATGATATATTTTAATATCCGAATGTCCATTTTTAGAAAGCCTTGATCTTGCTGATGTAATTCTTAGATATTGACTATATCATTACAGTATCCAGGGACAGCATCTTCTGTTACAGAATTATATTTTCCATATTGTTTTCCAACAATTTAATTAATTAAGCTTAACTCAACAGGTTTATTAATCTGTAATTACTTCATATCTCTTTAAAAAACATATATTTCACTTCCAGTGGCTCAGTAATGTCTGCCTCAGTCTTTATTGTTTCACATTTACAGTGAAAATAAAACCCCATACGTCATACTGAAAATAGATTATTGCTTCCTCTTGTTGGAGTCTATAATGAAAATAAACACCTCTAATTTTATTAGCATGGTAGGAGCTTAGTATTTAATACAAAATTATGCTGTGTATTAATACTTCTCTTCCTGTCTTTTAATGGCAAGGATACTGGATTCCGACTCGACTCACTACATACCATCCTGCAACAGGAAGTCCTGTTACAAGAGGATGTGGAGCTGATTGAGCTGCTTGATCCCGGTATCCTGTGTGCAGGGCAGCCTCAACAACAGGAAAATGGACACCTTCCAACACTTTGCTCCCTGGCAACCCCTAATATTTGGTACTGTCCAGAAAATGTCTATCCTTTGCTTACATATAGAGTATTAGCAGAGGAAATCTATCATCATGCTCTCTATTGTAAAGGCATTATAAACATTTAGCATTGTAATTAATGTAATGATATGTCAGAGGCTACAAAAAAAAAGGTAACTTTCTAAAGTAAATACTATTAAAAGTGAAACTAGAAAAAAAAATCCAATTTGATTATTATATACTTTCAACTCAGTATAATTAGGTCTGTGTTTAACAACCTAACAAGTAGGTGTAACATTTGCCAAAAAGATTCTCTCTTGCCCACATACCTTACATACATTTGTGCATGAAGTCCTAGCCAGTTCTTTATGTTTCTTTACAATTAACAGATTATATCATAATCACATTGTGGAGATACCAAGGACAGGATAGGACATGGAGGTAAATAGTTGATTCTTGCTTTGTTGGCTGAGAAGAGCTCATAGGGAACTTAGGCAATTCAGACTATCATAAAACTTGTCAACCACTTGCAGTATTTGGGGCTAATACAGAAGTCTCAGACCATAATCTTAAAAAAAAAAAAGTATATATATATATA